TGCGAGGAGGAGGAGGCGGGTGGTAGTCGGGAGTAGGGTTGTTAGGTCGGCGGTGGCGGTGCTCATCAGTGCCGCCGCTGATTGAGCTGATGCTGTTGCGTGCTTTGAGGGCGTGCCTACTGGTGTATGGCCATTCGTCTTTGTCGTTGTCGTCGTCACAGACACCGTCGAAGAAGAATTGCCGAGCTTGATGGAGACGATACTCGGGTTCAGAAGGCTCTCATCCTGGAAGTGCACGCGCGAGGCGATGAGGAGCTTGGAGAACTCGCGCGGGCCGTGGGTGCGCGCCAGGATGGGCGCCGTGAAGCGCGGCCAGAGGGCGTCGCAGCTGTGGCGGCACGAGGGTAGGGTGCGGGACGCCGACGTCGTGAGGGCGTCGCAGACGGCGCCGACGAAGCGGGTCCAGAGGAAGCTTGTGTCGTCTTGCGTCGTGGTCGGGGTCGGCGGCGGCGGGGACGCCGAGATGATTTTTATGAATTCCTGCTTGGTGTAGTTTGGGAATTGGATGTGTGGTACGAAGGAGATGCGGAGGCTGGAGGGGGGAGGGGCGGTGACGATGAAGACGCAGGTCAGACATGGTATCTATGGAACGGTAGCTTGTTAGTATGCCATAGTTGAGCGCGTGGGGGGTGCTTGATCACTCACCACTTCGGATAGCCGTGCTAATGCTGGGAGGAGAGTTGCGGGAGCGTCTCTCTGACGGTCAATTGCGTCAAAGACAAACACGAGGCGCCACCCGTCGGGTCGTTGTGTGTATTTGAGCATCTTGCACAGCTCAACCATCAATTGGGCCAGCGTCTCGCACTTCTTGGGCGGAGCCTTCCATTGTATCGCGTCCACCACGGCAGCGATTGTCCGCTCGAACAGATGCCGCCCCGTGATGCATTGTATGGAATTAACGATGGCAAAGCTGAGAGAGGTTTTGGGTTCGGCCCCGGGTTCTTCGTCGAGGGGTTTGGAGAGGTTTTGCAGGAGAGACTCGACGATGGCTGACTTTCCGGTGGCTTCGGTGCCGTAGACAATGAGGTTCCGGCAGGGCGCGGCGGCGGGCTGAAGTGTCGAGGTCAATGTCTGGCCTTCACATAAAGTTGAGCAAAAGATTAGCGACTTACATGGAGAAGAGTAGCTAAAGACCGGATCTGACGTTCGCGGCAGGGGAAACGTTCGAATAAGGGGGATAGGAGAAGCTCCTCAGGAAGCTGGAAGAGAGACGCCATGTCAATTGGGTCAATTGCTCTGGCGTTCGAGCCTTTTAGTAAGTATCAACTCGAAAACAGCGTTCGTCACCCGGAGAAAGAAAACCGGGGAAACGGGCCGGAAACCCAAGACCGCCGTGTCGCGTACGAAGGTACGGAGTACATGGGGAGGAAAGGACCTGCAAGCCGTTGAGACGCGAAATCATGTGACCGGAGCATCGGCCCATCTCGGGCCCCTCTTACGGCGGGCGCAGGGGACCAAAATGGCCCGCGTGCGTTGGGACCCAGGCGCCCTGTGCCGGGCGCAGCTCCACTTCTTGAGACTTGACCACACTCAGTTTTAGCTCGTCTGCGGCAGTGCGGCCTCACAGCTCACAGCTCACAGTACCGGTAACTTCTCAAGTCACAACTCTCTCTGTGTGTCTCTCTGGCTAGTCCCCTCCTTCACTCATCCGGAACTGTGCGCCAAGTGTCAAATGTCCTCGTTCCCCCAAGGTCAAACAAACATGCCCGTATCCAAACCCACTCCAGCGCCCAAAAGGGCAACCCACGGAGGGTTGACAGCAGGGAGAAGGGTACTGCGGGAGGCGCAGTGCTTTTACGGATACACAGTACCCTTCTTCCCGACCCTTGGAATGAACAAACTTGTGTGTGTTGCCGGGTTCTAAGAGGCTTGCGCAAGCCTCTTATCCGTACTTTTTCTCTTTTTGCTGCCGCTGCACATGCTTCGTGGCCCTCGCGGCGCAGTTTGGGTACGTCAACGGCATGGAACACACACACCATGTACTGTTGCGGCGCGTTCGTTTCTCTCCCACTTGTAAGCTTGAGCTTCTCCGGCTTCTATTAGCCCGTCTCATTAAAACCCGCATGCCACCACCTTCGAAGGATTCGTGCCGCCTAACGGGGAAAAGCGCTAGTCATCCGTCAGATGAGAGTCAGGTAGGGAGCTCGTCAGCTCAGTGTGGGGTCAATGATCTCTCCATCTGTGGCTTTGATAACGAAGGTAATAACACACCTGGGAAGGCAGCAGCATGAGATTCGTTTGTTCGTGAGGCCTCACACACACTTAACCCGACACAACTCAAGTCGGCATGTGCATATTAGAACCAACGGAACCAACCACCTACCTAACCCCTGGGGGCAAAAAAGAGACAAACTTGAAGCTAGCGGGCCGACTAATCAGTGCGAAGGGGGACTGTGTTTTAAAGCTTCATCCGATAACTAGGCGTCTCATTCCGTCAGCAGCGTCACCCGCCCACGGAACTCTGTTTCAACCCCGACGACATCTCTACTTCCCCCGTCCGGCCGTTGGACATCATCCCTAAAAAAAAGTAGAGGTCCGAGCATCACCAACTCAACCCCTTCTACCTAGCGTCCCGACTTCACACACACTTGACAATTTCCGAACGACGTACCTTTCACCTCGTTGCCACTACCGCGAAGCTTCTCTTTCTCTCCCTCCCATCTTCCCCACTCGCCATTCATCTCACCCCAACAACCTCCACCTCATCTCACTTCACCCCGTAGCCATCCTTCCCTCTCATCCCGAATCCTGACGGACGCCGTAAGACTGAAGGGCAGCCACTTGGTTCAGATTCCCCATTGAGACGAGAGTCGGGTGGCCTTGGGGGGCCCCGTCAAGGACACAATCACACACACGATGACCATCCTCTCATCCTCCGGACAGTCAGACTCAGCGGACGCCGCCGCAGGAACCTCAACAAACCACATCGAGGATAAACCATACCACTCAAAACGGCCCCACAAGAAGTCCCGGACGGGATGTAAGAACTGCAAGACGCGCAAGGTGAAGTGCGACGAAGCTCGTCCAACATGTCGTAACTGCGTGCTCCGCAAGGCCAATTGCAACTACCCCGGACCGTCCCACTCCCACTCCGACCACCGCCCACCGGGATCGCCATCAGGCTCCTCCGCCGGGCCCTTCTCCCCGGCCCGCTCGCGGTCTCACACGCCGCCGCAGCACCGCCGCAACAGCCACCATGCGGCCGCCGGCGACGACGACGACGCCAACGCCCTCGTCATCAAAGAACCGCTCTACATCCCCGCCGGCGACAGGGACGCCATCGACATGAAGCTCCTCTGGTTCTACACCACAAACACCTTCACCTCCTTCGCCACGCAGGCCGGCAGGGTGAAGCGCATCGACGACATCCTCAAAGTCAAGATCCCGAGCCACGCCTTCCAGAGCCCCTTCCTCATGGACTGCCTCCTCGGCACCTCGGCCCTCCAGCTCCAGCACCTCAAACAAGACATCGCCCCCTCCCGCGCCCTCCGCTACCGCGCCCGCGCCTTCGAGGGATACCGCAAGGCCATCGAGGAAGGCAAACCGGAAACTTTCCCCGCCCTCATCGCGACTTCCCTGCTGCTCACCGCCTTGTCGTCGCAAATGTTCCGCGAAGAGGGGACAAAGGACCTCTACATCATCGACTGGATGGTCGTCTGGCGCGGCATCGGCCTCATGATCGACATGGCTACGCCGCAGACCCTCTGGGACTCTGGTCTCGCGGAGCTCTTTATGCGTCCGCCCATCAACCTCGACGAGGCGGCTAAGCACATCCCCAATAACCTCCTCTTCATGGTCTCCTCCATCCAGCCAGGCGACCCGGACTACGACGACATCTCGACGTACTACGACACGCTAAAGTACCTCGGCTCCCTCTACGCCGAGCTCGTCAACGGGTTTGGACCCATCATGACCCTACGCGTCGTGACGTGGTTCACTTTCATTCCGAAGGGGTTTGTCGAGCTTGGGCGGGAAAAGAGGCCTCGCGCGCTTATTATTCTGGCTCATTATCTCATGTTCATGAAGGCGACGCAGAATCTGTGGTGGATCGAGGGTATTGGCGACCGTGAGATTGCGGGGATTGTGAATTATCTGGGCGAAGGCTGGTACGAACAGCTTGCCACGCCGCGCCTGGCTCTGCTGCTGGACGATCGTACTGATATTGCGCGGTTGATCCTTGGTGATCCGGACTGGGAGTCGCCTATTGACTTCTATAACGCCCCGACACGAGATCCACGGACGGAGTTGCTCACTTGGGTGGATGATCATGGCAAGCGGTATAAGGGCATGCCGCAACGTGTAGGGGACTTACATCCCGCGGATCCGGCACCGCGGACGTTGCCCTGGGAGAGGGACGGTTTTCATCATGATCCTATGATGCTCAGCCCTGCGGGGCGGCGATATGCTGAGAGAGTTTTAGAGGCGATTGATTCGGGAGTGCAGGACATGGACGTATCATAGGAGCCGGGAACCGGTCCCGTCGATTGACAGGCCGTCGGGACCACTGGCAGGGTCCGATCACAATACCCAATTGGCGCACTTGGCTCATGGAATACAGTGGATGGCGTAACTACTTATCTGAACCCTTCCAGTTTGAATAAACAGAATCGGCACAATCAACATTAATCCAGTGCGAGCCTATCGAATTATATACTCGATCGAGACCAGAACTCCCGATGCAAACGGGAGTCGAGCAACTTGGAGAACACTCACAAGGACATAGGCGCGGGAGATATTTCAATGTGTTCAACGTGGAGCAATGGGGGGGGGGGGTCCGATCAAAAGACACCACCTATGGTTATACGGTGATAATTGAGCATAGAACTACGTAGTCTAGATTAATCTTTGCTGGTCGTGTGGCTCCAGCGCTCTCGTCCTACCTCCACTACCAGGTTCACACATCCTTACCCAAACACCTACTCTCGGCCGCAAAACAGGCTTGTGACTGCGATCGAAAGCTCTGTCGAGGCAAAAAGCAGCAGAAAAAGCGAAGCATTCCATCAAAGCCGCGAAACTTTACATCGGTGGTAGCGCATGCTGTTCGGTCCCAGGCTGGCACCACACCCCTGGCAAGTAATCCTGATGTCTCGCGTTGCTGGAACGTATGTTTCCGTCTCAGGATGGTCCTTCTTTCTGTGCTTGATGAGATCTTTCTCTCTCGCGTAACCCTTTGCGCCAGTCTTGCTACAGCCTCTCACTGTACAGGGGAAGGCTGTGAAGTCGTGGGCGTTCTTCATGTGTTTCGTATATTCCGACTGTGTTTCGAATGGTTTGGAGCGGGTTTGTTCTTCGCGACTGAGTGTTTTGAAATTTTCGTTCCGGTGGTGCGGGCAATCCGCAAAATGGCAGACTGGAGGTGTCTGATACTTCCCACGACGGCTGGGCATGATGTCTTCGTTCTTTCCCTCAGCCTCGAACCTGTGGTATCCGCGCACATGTTGTCGGAGATGATCTCTTCTTCGAAAACCGTTCTCCCCGCGGTGACTTTTGCAGAATTGACAAGGGAACTTTGGCATGTCGGTCCCCATAGAGTCAAGATGTCGGTAGAGGACATCAAGTCGGGCGAAGTTCTTGCCACAGGAACAAGCAAAGGGATTGTGTTGTGCTTCGTTGGCGTGCTCCCGCAGCTTGGACTTGTTCCTGAACTCGACCGAACACTCAACACAAGCGAACGGATGCCCCATTTCAATGCGCTCGTGGCCTTCAAGATGAGGCCGGCGTTGATGAGCGTCAAGCTCTCTATTGCTCACGAATTTCTGACCACATCCTTGGACTGGGCACAAAAATGCCTTATGGTTGTTCCACTTAGCATGGTAGGGCAGATTCTCTGCGTACTTGACAACTTCGCCGCACTCTGCGCAAGTCAGGTGCGCTTCTGCCGCAGTCCTCTCGATTGAAGCAGTAGAAGCTGTCTCCAGGGGCTTCGAATCATTTTGGACTGAAGCGCTGGCCAATGACAATGTCAAATCGTTACCGTCATCCGGACTGCAATGATGCATGATCTCATCTGCACTAAGACTGTGTTATTTGGAGAGGAGGCACGGGGAATGGAGCGGGGAACTCACGGCCCGATCGAGTTCCCGGTCGCTTCTGTTCGCCTCCTGACACCCTTTTTGTTAGCAAGTGTTAAAAAAAAAGTCTCACGGATCCAGGGGGTCCGCAGCGCCAAGAGCGCCATCGTCGACGTGGCCGAAGTCGTAGTAACCAGTAGGATCAAGGAGTTCCATGAAGCTGGTGTCGTTGGCGTAGCTCTCGGTGTCGAGTTCGGCAAGGAACTCGTCGAAGTTGCTGGTCCAGGTGACGTTGTCAGACATTGTGGCGTTGGTTGATTGCCGGGGTGCGTTGAAGCGGCGAGAGAAAACCAGGCTGTGATGGGAGCTGTGTGCTGGTGTAGAGTCGCAAAAGAGGTGCGGATGAGTGTTGGTCAAGGAGGAGAGGGGGACGGGGGAAGCTTCCTGCTTATCTCGCTCTCAGGAGAGCCTCCTGACAGTCTCTCGCTGCTTTAACGAGAAGACAACAAGTCTGAAGGGCGGTGGAGGTTTGAACTTGGAGACGAGAAGGTGATAGGATGGGGAAGCAGCCACCTTCCGCCCTATTTGTGTGAGGAACAGGAAACTGACACCCTTTTCCTATGAGATAAGGAAAGTGAGGCTGTTGGAAGCGGCCATATGCAGATTGGTCTGGGGTTGCCTCAAGCAGGCGGCATACAACTTGCAAGGAAGTTGGGCGAACCAGAGAAGCAGCGAGAAAGGGTCGCAAGGTATGGTATGGTATGATGTGTGTATTGAAACAACCAAACTCCAAAGAGCAACAAAACAACATGAAATCGTTCACAGCATTTTCCAAACCAATTGCAAAGCCCCTCGTCCAATCGGAGAATCTTCAACATCAACAAAACAACAAATGATATCAGATAAAAGACCAAAAATGGTAACACACTCGACACTACTCCCCCTTCTATGCAGTCTTTAGTACAGTATGTACAAAATCTCTCCTCTTACTGCTGCTCAAACAAAAGCGACCTGGGGTTACCAAGCAGAATCTTGAACGTCTCCTCAATCTTATCAAGCAGCTCCGCAGCATGGCCCTTCCACGACTCAAACGTGACAATCTCAATCGTCAACTTATCGCCCTGGGGGAACGCCTGGATCTTCCACTCGCGAAGCGGCTCCTGCTGCGGGTAGATCGTCTCCATGCGACTGCTCGCCGTCTCGAAGCCGAGGCTCTCGACGTGCTCGACGTCCTGGTGCACCACAGTGTCGAACCAGTCCACCGAGGCCGGCCAATCAGTGCACAGCTTGGCGATCTCGGGCAGACCGATGCCCTCGTGCGCCGAGCTGGCAATGTGCTGGTTCTGCACGAGGTTGAGGAGGTCGAGGACCGTCCAGTCGTCCTCGAACTTGACGCGCACGGGCACGTATTGCCAGCAGGGGCCTACGACCATGTCGGCGTTGGGGAAGTCGATGTTGCGGCCGCTGACAACTTCGCCAAAGGTGACGTCGCGCGTGCTCTGCAGGCGGGCGAGGGTAAGGGCCCAGGCTGCGGTGGGGAGGGTGGCGATGGTGACGTCCTTGGAGCGGGTCGAGATGTCGAACGTCCTGTCGATGGCGTAGTGCTGTCTCTCCGTCACGGGGGTATCGGGCTTGAGAACGTTGACGGAGGATCCTTGGAGGAGCTCCTTCCAGTAGTCGACACTCTGGGGGATGTTGGACTTGACGACGTGACCGACGAAGGAGGAGAAGGGGAGAGCCTTGGGAACGGGCTTGCCCTCGTGCAGAGCCGAAAGCTGGTGCAGCATGATGGGAAGGCAAATCTCATCGTACTGAGCGTGCGAGACACGGAACACTAGGGCAGACTGGCCATTGCTGCTGTGGACGAAGAACCACTTGACAAAGATGGAGCCAAGCGGCATCCGGGTCTGGACGTCCATGTTGCAGAGGTCCTTGACAAAGGTCTCAACATCGCTGTCGATCTCATACTCCACGACGGGGGTCTTGACGTCTTCGAGGATAACGCTCAGGCAAGCGCCATTGTGCTTGACAAAGACTGATCTCAGGACCTCGTTGAGGGAGACGAGCTCTTGACAGCTCTGGAAGAGGCGGGGGCGGTCAACGTCGCTCTCAAAGTACATGGCCTCATAGCGAGCAGAGAAGCGAGGGATCTCAATAGTGCCCTTGACGGCGACCTCCTGCAACGGTCTTGCGGGGAAGGCGTCGACAATCTTCCATGTCGGGTCGGCCAACAGGGGGCGGAGAGTCTCTGCCGGGGCATCGCCGAGGTCCTCAACCAGCTCAAAGGGAACGAGAGGCTTCAGGGACTCTTGAGAGTCCTGAGTGGGCTCAGAGTCCTGCAGGACGCTGGCCATGTCGTACAGCGTCCTCTTCGTGAAGACCTGTTTGACGGTAAGTGTGAGGCCAGCCAAGCGGGCCTCAGAGACGAGCTTCATGGCACCGATGGAATCTCCACCAAGGCGGAAGAAGCTGTCGTTGAGGCCGATATCGCTCTCGGGGAGCCTGAGTACACGGCTCCAGAGAGTTCGCAGACGACGCTGCTTGGCAGATGTGGCAGAGATGCGCTTAGTAGGCGCCTTGGTAGCAGTGCTGGCCTTTTGGACCAGATCGCTCGTCTTGCCGGTGATCTCGACAGATCCATCTGCGTTGAATTTGGCGAGGCGCTCCGTCTTGTAGAATTTGCCAGCCTCCTTGTTCTCGGCCCACGAAGGGTAGTCCAGCGTGGAGAGAGACAAGTCGGACTTGCTGACGACCACCAATTCACCAACAACTCCAAGAGGTGCCAGAAGCGCAGAGTCGGTTGGGTTAACAATGTACACCGCCTCGGCCTCCGGGTACTCCTTCTGAACGCTCTTGACGCTCTCGGTGCTCAAGCGAGCGACCTCGGTCTTGTCCTCCTCAGTCAGGTACGCGATGTCGCCAAGTGGCGTGTCGGTAAGCTGGCAAAGCTTCTGCGCCACTTGAGAGAACTGAGCGAGTGCCTTCTCCATGAGAGGCTTCTGAACAGTCTTTGAGTCGAACGAGGCCATTACCAAGAAGCCCTTGGGATCTGTCGAGCAGACGAGCATGAGGGCGTAGGTGTTGAACTTGAGAGCTTCCTCCGCGGCCTCCGCGTCGCCGGCAGGGACGAGGCGGTTGGCGGGGTACTTATTGAACTCTTCTTGGTCAAAGTCGTCCGCGCTCGGGTGCAGAACGAGGCCGGTTCTCAGCTCGCAGGCCTCGAGGGCATCCGGGCTGAGACGGCGGATGTGCTGGAGACCGGTGTGCTCGTAAGGGATCTGTTGGATGGTCTGGTCTTGGATGTCTTGGAGGTAGTCGCTGACGAGCGTCTCGGCGTTGACCTGGGTGCGGAAGGGGACGGTCGTGATCATGGGGCCCTCAATTTCGTCGGAACCTCTGATGGGCGCGTTGCGGCCGGTGAGGGTCTCGCCAAAGATGACATCGTTGGATGAGGCGTAGTGGGATGCCACGTAAGCCCAGGCACCGCGAATCACGGTGGCGACGGTGGTGTTGGAGGCAGGTCTGCCGTTCAGGGGCACGTAGACCTCCAGAAGAGAGTCGGCCTGCGTCTGGTAGCCCTCGTACGGCAGCGCGGGGAACTGCGTAGTGGCAGCGGCACCCTGGAGCTGTTCGCGCCAGTATGTCTCGGCGGCGCTGCGGTCCATGCCGCCGAGGTACTTGATGAAGTCCTTGAACTCGGCCGGGCGCTGAACCTTCTCTCCGTCAAAGGCCTTGTTGACCTTGTCGACGATGAGGGGCATGCACCAGCCGTCGTACAGGGCGTGGTGCATCGTCAGCACGAACTGCACCTTGCCCGACGCGTTGTCCGTGACGAGGGCGTAGCGGACGAGGGGTCTGCCAAGGTCCATGCCCTCCTCGCGGTCCTTGACGAGGTAGCCCTGGAGATCGTCGCCAATGTGCCAGGCAATGTCTTCCTTGACGACAACCTGGGCGAGGCCGCGGCCGGGCACCTGGACGATTCTCGTGCGGAGGATGGCGCAGTCTGCGGCGGCGACGTCGAAGGCGTTGCGGAGCTTGTCTGCCGTCGCCACGTCCGCGAGGTCGACGACTCTCTGCGCCACGTACGCCGAAGTGACCTTGGCCGACAGAGCCATGAGACCCTCTTGGAGGGGCGTGCAGGGGTAAATGTCCTCGATGGCGGACTCGTCGATACCGCAGAGCTTGGCGGACTCGGCGCGGGCCTCCTCGGGTGCCCATCCTTCCTCGAGGAGGGAGAAGGGCGCGACGGCGGCGTCGTCTTCCTTGGACACCTTGGTCGCGTTCTCAGCCATGGCCTTGAGCGTGGGGAAGTTGAAGATGGTTGCGACAGTCAGAGCGATGCCGTCCTCTCTCGCGGCAGCGACGAGCTTCATGGCGCGGAGAGAGTCTCCGCCGAGGGCGAAGAAGCTGTCGTGCAGACCGATGGCGGCGGCGGACTCGCTGCCCAGGATCTTAATCCAGACCTGCTGCAGCGCCTTCTCCATCTCCGTCTCAGGCTCCGATTTCTCGGTGGGCGCGACGCGCAGGCGGGCGACCTGCTCGCGGGACATGGAACCTCCGAGCTCGCGCAGGCGCTTGCGGTCGATCTTCCCCGAGACCAGGGAGGGCATCTTGCGGAGGGGGATGTAGGCCGAGGGGACCATGTAGCGGGGAATCTCGGCGCCGAGGGCAATGTCGATCTCGGCGATGGCCTGGCTGAACTCGGGGGAGAAGGTGGTGACGTCGCCGCTCTCAGGATCCGCGGGACCGTCAACGGGGTTCTGCTCGACGACGAAGGCGACGAGCGTGGGCTCGCTGCCGCCGGGCTTGATGACCTCGGCGACAATCTTGACGCCCGAGGGCATCTTGCCCCGGAGGTGGTGCTCGACCTCGGCCAGCTCGATGCGTTGACCGCGGAGCTTGACCTGCTGGTCCTTGCGGCCGACGAAGGCAATGGAGCCCGTGCCATCCGGGTCGTAGCGGACCAGGTCGCCCGTCTTGTACAGGCGTCCGTGTCTGCCGCGGGCGGAGCCGCCGCCGGCGAGCAGCCAGGCCGGGTCCTCGATGAAGACCTCGTCCGTCTTGGCCTTGTCGTTGAGGTAGCCCATGCCAACGACGGGGCCCTCGATGAGGAGTTCGCCGACGGCGCCAACGGGCATGAGGCGCTCGTGGTCGTCCGGGTCGACGATCCAGGTGAGGCCGCCGGTGCCCTTGCCGATGTTGGTGGAGGTGCTGCTGACGTTGCCGTTGATTGTGCAGCCGACGGTGCACTCTGAGGGTCCGTAGGCGATGATGACGCTCGTGGTCTTGCTCCACGTCGAGGC